GTCGTTTGGGAGAACAGAAGTCCAGCCATGATAAGGCTCTTCCGAGTTTGGGATTATAACATCTTCCACCTCGGAGTGGAACTTCTGAAGAACCCCACTCATGTGAAGTCCACCCGTTGAGGTGAACTGTTGTTGACGAAGTCCCGTCACCACTCCGGATATATCTCTGCCATCCTACGGAGACGCTGAAAGGTAGCGTTAACTGGAGCTCCTCTTCCGCTGATTCATCGTCAGAGAGGTAAATGAGTCTAGTCTACTACCGAGCGTACCGAGGAAAGCTGGGTCGGATGGAGGGTGTCGTCCTGTCAACACTTTTCACTCATACACACCACATTCTCCCTCATCCATCTTTCACTCCCACTAAACTTCATCTTTCCATCTTTAAAAATTCTTCTATCAAGTAGAAATCATTGACAGATATTTTTAGAAATGTCTGAAGCAAAGTTCTCAATCACCGCTGTGTGATTTGATGTCTGCTGTTCTGCTGAAAAGTGAAAACAATCGCCGTATTGTTTCTCACTACCTGTAAAGCTGATTAATTATGTTGTTATTTTCATATTTTGCCAAATTAATGTAAATGTTTGATGTTAAACTTTAATTCTGTAAATAAATGACCACATTCATTTTGATGGGTCAAAGATAAAAAACGTCTCGCGTTACATTTTATTAAATTCAATGCACGTTTATATTCAGTCCAGAAAAATGAAAGAATCCGTTTTAATTAGGTGAATATCTCAGGATATGTTCATCTACACTTTGTTAGTCGTGTCTAATGCTCCTTTTGTTCATCAGACAACTTTTACTTAAATGTGTTTACTGCAGTTAAAATGACACATTGGTTTGTGTTAAATAAAAACTTTCAAAGGTATAATCATTCCTTTTTCTTATTTTGATAAATGGCATTTAACTCTGCAGGTCATCCCTGAAATTCTGACACACAGAATCACAAATCCAAGTGTGAACTGTGTCACAGAGTAAACACAATAAAAACATGTATTATCTGCAGCATTTCCTGATGCATGCTCAATAATCCAGGTAGAAACATCTAAAAGAGTTAAATCTGGTCCTCTGGACATTCAAAAAACAAAACAAAGCAAAACTAAAAAAAAATGTAGAACCGTTTCGTCTTCCATCCGAAAGACTTCCTCAGTCTGAGGTGCTGTATTCAGCTCCGTCTTATAAATAGCACCTTCTCAGAGTGGATCAACCAGTTTTGCTGCTGACAACCAAAACCAGCTGATCACATGCTCAAGAAGGACCATCAGCCTAACAATGGATCATTAGCACACTGATGGCTGTTTACTATTCACAGGAGGCTAAGTGATACTAGCAATAACAGCATTGTAAGAAGTTGAACACTGAGGCCTCCACCCCTGTTGTAAAGAAAAAGAAGAAGAAAATAAATTGTCCATCGTTAAACGGGTGGAGGCCTCTGTTCAACTGAGCATGCATCAGGATGTCCCCCTCTTACAATGCTGTTATTGCTAGTATCACTCAGCCCCCTGTGAATAGTAAACAGCCATCAGTGTGCTAATGATCCATTGTTAGGCTGATGGTCCTTCTTGAGCATGTGAGCAGCTGGTTTTGGTTGTCAGCAGCAAACTGGTTGATCCACTCTGAGACGGTGCTATTTAAGAGACTGAGCTGAATACAGCACCTCAGACTGAGGAAGTCTTTCGGATGGAAGACGAAACATTTCTACTTTTTTTTTTGTTTTGCTTTGTTTTGTTTTTTTGAATGTCCAGAGGACCAGATTTAACTTCTATAGATATCTGCAGCATTGTTTATTAAAATGGCTCAACACTATTAATGTATTACAGAAAATATACACATGGTAGGCAGACAAAGATATGTAGACCATTGCATTATGTAATACATTCAGGGAGTACTTTTACTTTTAATACTTTTTTTAGTATTTTAAAAGCAAGCACTTATTTACTTTTACTTAAGTAAAAATGTTAATGTGGTGCTTCTACTTTTACTAGAGTACATTTGTGTTTGTTTATTTGTACTTTTACTTAAGTACAGTGTTTGAGTACTTTCTCCACCAGTGGCTACAACAAAACAAGACAACCTGCAAACACAGACAGATTTGGACGCATCCTTTAAGAAAACCCCACAAAGGTCACTGAAATAACTTAAAAATAACTCAAGTCAAACAAAAACAAATGTTTGGAAAATGAACAAATGAAAAGCAGTTGCTGATTTTTAAATTAAAAACCGAACGTTGGCCTGATGTCACGCTGCCAGAGGAGCAGAGCAAGCTTCCTGACAGACGCTCGTTTATTGACTTTTCCTCGGCTTTCTCTTCTGAACACATTTATTGGCTGCTGGCCAGATATTCAGCAATCTTTAGTTTAATTAAAAATAGGTTCATAAAGATTAACTGTGTGCTCACTGAGCACGCAGCTGTTTAAATGTCATAAAAACACGTTTTATTTAGTGTTAGCGCTTCGCAAGCTGGAAGTGTGATTTTATTCTGCTGACTGACATATTGGGACTTTACTGGACTGTGCAAAGCCCCTGACTTCTCCCTCGTTATTACCCAGTGATCTTAGTTTTTGCTCGTGTCTGTTAGCAAATTATCTCACGACCCACACGACGGATTTTAATGAAACTCTCAGAAAATGATTAATGAAGGAACTACTACAATTGTTTACCTTCTGGAGTTAATCCAAATAAAGATGGCTGCCACAGCTAATCAACATCCGTCAACGCATAAATGGCGACAACTTTGTCAATTTCACAGATGTTGAGCTAAAGCTTGGTTTGGTAGTAGCTGAGAGTGAATTGCAACACATAGTCTGAGCACGACATCTTACTAAATTGCCTGAGGTCATACAGTAACACTGTTTTCAACGTCTGAGCACGTCTCTCAACATGAGAAGATCTTAGCTTGAAGCTCACGCATGGAAGGTGGTGGGGGACATGCAATATTTCAAGGAATGCTGTGCCTTTACTGTGTGAATCACACTACTGCGATCCATTTTTCTTTCATATGTTTTACGGCGCGATTTTCGTCCCGCAGTTTTTAAGCTGTTTCAGCAAATGGTATATCAAAACGTTCAGCTCTTTAGCCTTTTCTGCCATGTTTTTTTTTTTCTCATGGAAAATGAATTGAGCTCATTTTACATCTTATAGATCTGTTTACTTACTGCTCCTTTCACATTTTGTTTTGCTTCTGCTTCTTTCAGCTTCCTTGAGAAAGTTTAAGCGTTTTTAGCTACTTTCAGCTAATTTCAGCTGTTTTGTGCTCTTTCAGATTCGTTCTGCTAACTAGAACATTTTTGTGCTTGTTTTACCTTCTTTCTACTAATTTCAGCTTGTGCTCCTTTCAGCTTATTTCTGCTAGTTTCAGTTATTTCAGCTGATATTTAGTCTTTTAGCTTTTCAGAATCAGAATAAGCTTTATTATCATTGCGCCGAGGTACAACGAGAACATGTACGTACAGTCGTCCGAAAGATGGACGTAGTGCACGAAGCTGCTACTATAAAAGTGCGGCCTTTCTTATTCTTGTTCAGATTAATATTTTTGCTTGGATGAGAAAAGGGAAGAAAAACATGAGGCGCTAATTCCACATTTTTTTCCACTAATTTAAACTTTTTCAGCCCAATTCAGCTTAAGGTAAAAGGCAGAAATTGGCTCAAAAAAAAAAAAAAAAAACGCTGAAAAGTAGCAAAAAAAGCTTAAAGAAGCTTAAATTGGTTTACCAATTTACTAATTTACCAATTTAGCTTATGGTAATAAGTCGGATTGGTAAATCGGTAAACTTTCTAGTAATTTAAGCTTCTTTCTGCCTTTTTAGCTACTTTTCTGCTGTTTTTTGCTAATGTCTGCTTTTTCAGATAATTTACACTTTTTGTGCTAATTTCTGCTTCTTTGGGCATAATTGGGTAAACATTTTCTTTCTGCTTTCTTCTGCTAATTTAAGCTTGTTCTACCTTTTCAGCTATAGCTTTTTAGCATTTTTAGCTCATTTCAGCTTTTTTCAGATAAACGCAAGTTTTTTGTTGTAACTTTTGCTACTTTCAGTCTAAATAACTTCTTTCTGCTAATTTCAGTTTGTTATGCTTCTTTCAGCTTTTTTCTACTAGTTTAAGCATTTTCTGCTGCTTTAGCTACTTATTTAGCTGTTTTTATGCAAATTTTAGCTTTTTCAGCTACTTCCACATTAATGGAGCTCATTTCAGCTCTTTCCACTTCCTTCTGGTGTTTTAAGCTTCTTCCTGCTTTTGTGGCTAGTTTTGAGCAATTTTTTTTCTAATTCCAGATTTTTTTTTTAAGCTAATTTCCTAATTTTTTAATCATTTCTGTTTATTTAAACCTAATTCATCAAATATGTTATTTCTGCTTTATTCAGCTAATTTAGGCTTGTTCTTCAATTTCAGCTCCTTTTCAGCATGTTGCAAGCTAATTCCAGCTGTTTTTCAGCAAGTTCTTATGCAATAAGCATTCACACTGCCTTTGTGCAGGAAATGCAATTTCTCTAGTTTTCTTATATTTTTCTATTTTCATGCAGCCAGTGTCTTACTATAAAGTTGTCCTGATCAGCTGTTCTGCAGGCTTCTAGCTGCTTTTTCACTCAGTTTCTGTTTTCTAGGTTTTCTTAAGCCTTTTCCCCGTTTCTTAAAAACATGATTGTATTTTATTTTATTTATATTTGGGTCTTTCTCTCTCAATAAAACCTTCCACATTGCAGGCGTTCTGTGTTGGACTGTGTGGCTGAGCTGCTGAAAGCATGATGCGTTCACTCAACCAGAAAAAAAGACGAAATTGGATTCCTGAGCTGTCTCATGTGCTCCTAGTCAGTGAGGCTGAAAATGGCCTGATTCCAGCCGATGCATATTTTATTAGAAACCCTAAACATCTTTTCAAATGAGGGTGATGTGTTAAACTTTGTTTAATTTTTGTTAGGTTTCCTGCATTTCTAAGAACTGAAGCTGTTCGTTACAGGATTTAAAACGTGTGTGCATTTGTTGCCTTTGTGTGTCGGCTCCAGAGGCAGGACGGTTTGATGCAGCGCTCCATCCGAGAGGTGAACACGTCCAGCCGCTGGTGTGTGCTCTGGGACCTGGACGAGGCCACTCACTACAGCGTCCAGGTGAAACGCACACCTGTCTCCACCTCCATGCGTCAATAGCAGATTAACGTAATGTTACATTCAATGTTGTGGTTAGAGTGGGGATTCATGATATTATCGGCATGGTATCGGTATCGGCCGATATTAGCGATACAATTAAATATCGGACATCGGCCATTCCATCAAAATTCATTCAACCTTTATAACTCACCGATATAAAAGGTGCTGATTATACATTTTTTATATGTATATATATATATATATATATATATATATATATATATATATATATATTCATGATATTATCGGCGAGCAGCATGGTGGTGCAACTGGTAGAGCTGCTGCCTCTCAGCGAGCAGGTCCCTGGTTCAAACCCCGATCTGGGGGCCTTTCTGGGTGGAGTTTGCATGTTCTCTCCGTGCATGCTTGGGTTTTCTCCGGGTACTCCAGTTTCCTCCCACAGACCAAAAACATGCATGTTAGGCTGATTGGTAACTCTAAATTGTCCCTAGGTGTGAGTGAGTGAGTGAATGGTTGTTTGTCTCGTTTGTCTCTATGTGGCCCTGTGATGGACTTGCGACCCGTCCAGGGTGTACCCCACCCCTCGCACAGTGATGGCTGGACATGGGCACCGGCGACCCCCGTGACCCAAAAGTGGAAAAAGCAGGTAAAAGATGATAATGGATGGATATTATCGGCATGGTATCGGTATTGGCCGATATTAGCGATAAAGGTAAATATCAGACATCCGCCATTCCATCAAAATACATCACCGAAATAAAAGGCGCTGTGTATGTAAATGTATATATATATATATGTGTGTGTATATATATATATATATATATATATATATATATATATATATATATATATATATATATTCACAGCACCTTTTATTTTATGATGTATTTTGATGGAATGGCCGATGTCTGATATTTAACTTTATCGCTAATATCGGCCGATACCATGCCGATATCATGAATATATATATATATATATATATATACATACACATACATACACGCGGTGCTGTTTTTGTATGACTATTCGATCATTGTGTTAGAGAGTAAATGTCATGAATAAATTTGACATTAAACATAATCCAAGTTGGAGTGTTGCATCATTTTCAGTCCCCTTTTTGACATCTGCATTTAGTAACGGACCAAACTGACAAAGACCATGCAGAATAATGGAGTATTTTAATTCCACAGCAGAGAAAGCTATGTAGTCTCTGTAAGTAGGTCTAGGGGAAAAATATCGGTATTGGTATCGGTTTCCGGCCAAATAAGATTTAACATATTGGTATCGGATATCAGCCAAAAATCCAATATCGTGCATCTCTAGTTTAGAGTCATATTTTTGAAAGTCTGTCCTCCGATGTTCAAAGTGACTCCATCATTCATCAGATTCATCACAGCTCAGCAGAGTGACACAGATTGTCCTTCAGCTGCAGGTTGAACACGTTTTGAAGTGTCATTGAGCAAAGCGCTGAATTGCCAGCTCAAAATCGAACCGCTGCCCTCTGAAAGGAGGCGAGAGGCGACAAACTGGTGAACTGACCTGAGGAGTCTGGAGTCATCGTGAAGGAGTGAGCAGAACGCTCCGACATCTTGAAACTCCTCTGTGGGCTTTAGAAACCAGAAATAAACCCTCTAACTTGTTTGTTTATGCTGATAATGTTGACTTGTTGGTTTGTTTAGCTGAGAACAGCTCATATCTAAACGCTCTATGTTGGACTGATGGAGCACCTGTGTCCTCCAGGACTCTGGACCCAAACCAAAACGCCTCTTGTCTGATTAATTTCATCTCCGGAGCCACTTTCACTCGTAACGTCAACATCTCTGGGTGTTGCTTGATGTGCAGCTGCAGCGGTGTCGGAACAAATATATTTCTCTCCTGCAGGTGCAGTCCGTCGGGCTTCACGGTGACAGCCAGCCCAGCCGTTCAGTCCACTTCAAAACTCTGGAGAGAACCGACCATTATCCAGCCGGAATCCTGGACCACCGTAAATAAACACAAACGCACTCAGGAACATTAAAAAATAAACGCTTATCAGAAATGTATACCCTGAAACAGTAAAATACCCTACGGATATTTGTCATAATGGAGACTTCAATCAAAACTTCAATCCACACTAAGATTTAAAAAGTGTCTTTGCTTTATTTATTGCAGTTTTTACCTATGATAATAATAAATAAGTTGCTAAAGTTGGAGTCAGTTTGGTCAAAAAGTATTCCGACATACAAATCGGGTCATAAATGTTGTTATTCAGATCAAATTTGCTGCAATAAATCAGTTGAATTTCTGTCGGACTCAAACTCGAGGTTTGTGACTTTGCAGCACCTTTAGCATCTCACAGAGCTAACCAGGTTTAGCTACCTGGTCGCAGACTGTGAGCGAGCATTCTGATTGGTTCAAATACTGCTGCTGCTGATTCTGTTCGTCCCAGAACAAAACTGGAATTAAACTAAAGAAATTGCATTTCCTGCGAAAATGCAGTGTGAATGCTTATTGCTGAAGAACTTGCTGAAAAACAGCTGAAATTAGCTTAAAAAAAAACATGCTGAAATCTAGCTAAAACTGAAGAACAAGCCAAAGTGAGCAGAAGAAAGCAGAAAGAACACATATTTTCTGAATTAGGTTTAAATGAGCAGAAATTAGCAAAAAGAAAAACAAACAAGGAAATTAGCTTAAAAAGCTGAAATTAGCAACAACAAAAAAATTGCTGAAAAGTAGCTGAAAAGGCAGAAGGAAGCTTAAACTACCAAAAGGAAGTGGAAAGATCTGAAAGAGCTAAAAAAAAAAAAAGTGGAATTACGTGAAAAAACTAAATTTAGCAGGAAAAATGGCTAGAACGTAGCTGAAATAGGAGAAAAGGCTGAAATGAGCATAACAAGCTGAAATTAGCAAAAAATAAGTTAATTAGGTTAAAAGTAATAAAAATTACCATGAAAAACTTGAATGCATCTTAAAACAGCTGAAATTAGCAAAAAATGCTAACAAAAAAAAAGTAGCTGAAAAGGTAGAACAAGCTTAAATTAGCAGAAGAAAGCAGAAAGAGCATGTTTACCTAGTTAGGCTTCATCCACCCATCATCTTCCGCTTATTCCGAAGTCAGGTCGCGGGGCAGCAGCTTGAGCAGGGAGGTCCAGACATCTCTTTCCACATCCACCTCTTCCAGCTCTTCTGGGAGGACTCTAAAGCGTTCCCAGGACAACCGAGAGACACAGTCTCTCCAGAGTGTCCTGGGTCTTCCCCGTGGTCTCCTCCCAGTTGAACATTCCTGAAGCACCTCCCTAAGGAGGCATCCAGGGAGCATCTTTACCAGATGTCCGAATCACGTAAACTGGCTCCTCTCGATGTGGAGGAGCAGCGGTTCTACTCTGAGTCTCTCCCGGATAAACTGAACTTCTCACCCTGTCGCTAAATTCAGTTCAATTGAGTTCAGCTACCCTGTGGAGGAAACTCATTTCAACCGCTTGTATCCGTGTTCTCATTCTTTCGGTCACTACCCAGAGCTTGTGACCGTAGGTGAGGGTAGGAGCGTAGACTGACCGGTAAACAGAGAGCCTTGCCTTACAGCTCAGCTCCCCCTTCACCACAACAGACCGGCACAGAGTACGCAATACTGCAGATGTTGCATCAATCTGTCAGTCTCACACTCCATTCTTCCCTCACTTGTCAACAAAACCCCGAGAGCCTAGTTAGGCTGAAAACGGAAAAAAATTAGCCAAAAAAAAGTGGAAATTATCTGAAAAATAGCTGAAATTAGCTAAAAAAAAAATAAAAATAAAACGTCTGAAAAGTAGCTAAAAAGGCAGAAAGAAGCTTAAATTACCAGAAGAAAGTGGAAAGAGCATAGTTTTGCTGAATTAGACTGAAAAACGTTGATATGAGTTTTAAAAAAAGTGTCATTATCTTAAAAAGCTTAAATTAACATAAAACAGCTGAAATAGTAGAAAAAGCTGAAACTTGCAGAAATAAGATGAAAGGAGCACAACCAGCTGAAATAGCAGAAAGAAGTTAGAAGATGCACAAAAATGTTTTAGTTAGCAGAAAGATCCTGAAAGAAGCACAAAACAACTGAAAGTAGCTGAAAAAAGTTTAAATTTGTACAAGGAAGCTGAAAGAAGCTGAAGCAGAACAAAATGTGAAAGCAGTAAAAGGTTGTAAACACATCTAAAGATTTGAAGGAGGTAAAATGAGCTCAATTCATTTTCGATGAGAAAAAAAAGTGGCAGAAAAGGCTAAATATTTCAAAAAGCTAAAGTTGCACCAACACTAATAGTCATAGCATCCTTCTCCTGAACGAGCTGAACGTTTTCGATTTATGATTTGTTATAAATAGCTTGAAAACTGCGGGATGAGAATTTTGCCGATAAACGTACAGAAGAAAAATGGATCACAATAGTGTGAATCTTCATAGACATTCACACTATTATGTGTAATTTAATACAATTTTAACTTTTTGTGGGCCTGATTGAACAAACCCATGGGCCAGATTTGTCCCAGGAGCCACCAGTTGACGGTTTACTGGAGTTTGTGATAAGCTCTAGATTTTTGCACAATTTATTAAGCAGTAAAAGTTGATTTTAATCCCAAAACATTAAAAGATGAAAACCCTTTCACCCCCTGAAAGAATGCACATCCCTACCACCGTTAATGACCCAACTTCAGATTATTTTACATTGAGAAATTGAATCGTTTTGGTAAAACCTTGAAAATATTTAATACAAGCCATGTAATATCCCTCAGACTATGCAACAGGGAAGACTCTCAGCTACTACCACTGCACATTTCAGCTCAATATCTGTAAAACAGACTGACTTTTGGCCATTGTTGTGTCGGCTAACGTTGATTAGCCGAGGCGAGCGGCTTGACTTAAAATAACTTCAGTCCATCTGGAAGTTTCTGAGATATTTTGCTGACGGACAGCGTTGGCTCCATACGTTTAATGGCAAAGTTCTTGCTCGGTCCGTTAGTCTTGGAGGCGAATGCTTATAAACATGAGAAGAATTTAATCCGAACGAGTTATTTCTGTTTTAAGGCACTTTTTCTTGCAGCTTAGGTAATTTTTCATGTTCGTCCACAGACGAGCCGGCGATGGAGGGTCTGGGGATGACTCCTCACCTGCAGACCGGAGAGCTGCTCATCATCACCACGGTGCTTCTGCTGTGGGCGGGTGAGTCTGCCCAGGTGTGAGCTTTAATGTCTGAGCCTTTCGCACGGGTTTTAACCCCCCACCCCCCCACCACCACCACCCCGCCTTTGCTTTTTGCGCCGCCAGCCGTCATCGCGCTCTTCTGCCGGCAGTACGACATCATCAAAGACAACGACTCCAACGGCGCCAAGGAGAAAGCCAAGAGGCCGCTGGTTCGAGCCTCCACCTCTTACTACAACGCCTCGGCCGGCAGCTCGCCGCTCTACCACAACGGAGCGGTCCGCAGCAGCAGGGTGAGTCAGAACCTCTTCCTCACCTCTATATTTCATGATGCTTTCAGGCCGACAGAACCGTTTTGTCCCCGGAGGAGCGTTTAGTCGCTGCATCCTGGTCTCCTAGCAACCACACCTGCTGCCATCAGAGCTAAATTTAAAACAGACTTTAGACTAGACCGCAGCACCCCCTACTGCACATGACCCGGTCCAGTTCTTTACAATTATTAAAAACACTGGAATGGCCGACCACAGCTCAATCTGGGCTAACGGGGGCTGCCATCTTAGTAGGTGCTACATGTCGTCTTTGGGTATACTGCCAGCATGAACAGCTGAGGAAAACTACTTAACTTAAATGTTTTACCAGTAATTAATTATTTTTAAGACTTGAACTTCAAAGTATCTGGTATAACAGTAAGCAGGGTACTGAAGGTCAGCATATACCAGGTAACTGGAAATAATTTATCAATGTTAGTGAGAAATCGTCATAAATAATAGCTAATAGTGTAACAAACCTAGTTTTACCATGCGTGGGTAAAATATAATGAGTCAGTGAATAGATGTATGTTTTATAGCAGGGGTTCGCAAACGTTTTGGGTTCAGGGACCTTTTACAAAGGAGAAAAAGTTTCAGGGACCCCCTCATAACCCTCATGATTATTAAATAATTTTCTTGAATTTGTCTCTTGAATGCACTGGAAATATTTGTGTAACATAAATACTTAAGACCTGTTCTTTAATAGTGTTAATACAATTGTTATACTTTTAAACATGGGGTATTTTTCATCCAAGACACACTTAATGAACAAAATTTTTAATTTCATCTTCCAAAAATTACAATTTTGAGAAAATTAGCAGCATCAAAAACCACTTTAAAACGTTACCTGTTCACATAATGAACATGAATGTGTTGCCACTTCTTCAAATTATTACTGAAAACTCTTCACATAAAACTGAACAGAATCATAACAACAGTAGTCAGACCAAGTAACAGAACTTAATTTGTAAACCGATCGATGCCGGAACGCAAATTGCGCGTGTGGGGGCGGGGTCTGGGGGTCCTCTCTCAGAAATTTTTGAATAAATTAGATGTGATTTCCTGCATTTTGATGCATTTTAACAGGTTGTTAAACATCTACGTGCTTGTAAAAAAAAAAAAAAAAGTCATTTTTGCGGACCCCCAGGCACCAGCTCGCAGACCCGGGGACCCCAGTTTGAGAACTACTGTCCTTAAATGTTTCAGAGTTATAAGGAAAAAGATAAGTTTGAGTAAAACTAACTGAGCTGGGATATTTTAGAACATCGTGTGACTTAAATAAAGATGACTTAAAACCATAATCTTGTCTAAAAACACGATTTTTCAATTGTTTTATTTGTGTATTCTTTAAGAATAAAAAAAAAAGAATAAAAATGCATATTTTGCTTCCAAAAGTCTATCAGAAAATTTGGAATAAATGAGTGAAATTGGCAGCATTAAAATATATATATATATATATATTATTTTACATTTGAGCTTTAAAGCGTACATCTTGGACAGCCTCAAAGGATTCTGCATCAGTAAAATAATTCCCAAATGTAAGCGGAGTCCGGGGAGAGTGATGGATTCAGAGACACCAGGTCAGAGAACGAAACGCAGAGAGACAACGAACTCTGTCAGGAGAATTTTCATAACCGATTGCCAAATTTATTTGTAAACGAAGGTGAGTAATATTTGTAATGACGAGTTTGAGTTACACCCAAACCATCATTTAATGACGTAGAAACCATGTTAAAGGATAAAAACAAGTCAAAGCTCTTACAAAATCACACATTTTGACAGATATTAAGGCTAAAACAGATTGATCACCACTTGCTCTTGTCAAGGGCGGACGCTTTCCCTCTCCCTCCTCTACTTTGCTTTTGCTCTGTCCTGTCTGTGAAACTGCTTCAGAGCCTCTCTCTACATATCTTTCGAACCATAATTTTTGCTATGGATCTGGTCAGTTGGTCTCTCAATGCAATTGATCAAATTTTCTCAATAAGACAAGCTTCAGGCGAGCCGACTTGCCCTGATGACACACACAGCTGGATATGTCATGGATTCCTGGGGCGAGTGGAAGGTGATGCGTCTATCTCTGCTGTCCATCAAGGATATTAAAGACGCATATATTTTTAATGATAACAGTTTTCCTGCTTTTTGGAATCTGCTGGTTCCTCGTTTATCAACAAACAAGGAAGTTGTCGGCAGCAAATTTGGCCCTGGTCAGGCTGCCTGCCTTATGTGATGGTTTGCTCCGTGCCTCGAGCACCCAGACTCAATTGCTTTGCGAACTGAACCGTAAATTGGATGTGATTTGTGAGAATCGCAGGCCACTTGCGGCCCCTAGGATTCGCTGGCAGGATGGATCAGATCTCGGGGAATACTCTCAGGCATGGACCAGCGGTGTGTCCACTTAATTTGGATGTTTCGGAATCTCCGTGAGGACCAGCAAAAACTCGAGGCAGATAGAGATCAGTAAATCAGCCTGTCTCCAAAACATCTGAATTCGGCTCCCCGCCAGCCTTCACAGTCCACCTTATTTCAATTCGACTGGATACCCTGTAAATTTGATGCTCTGCCCCCTCCCCTCTCCCACCGATGAAGTCTGCGGACCTATTAGAGGGACCTGGCTGAATAAACATTGTGTCATCATTTCTGGACTCTGGGATTCTCTCTGGCGCTGTCCTAGGTCGACCTCAGCACCCTTGAGAGTGTTTACGGATCTCACCAGAGGGAACTGGCTGATTATTCCATTCTTATCAGAACTCCTACAGTGTCTCTGGAGTGTCCTTGGACACGCTCACCACCCTTGTTGTCTCCCCTCCCCTGCAGGGTGTCTGCATCACTATGTGCTTATGTACAGGGTGTTTTTGTCAATTTCAGGCTATCTTTCCTCAGCCAAGGAATGAGAGTCTGTTCGGAATTTTTTTGCCTTCAAATCCTATACATGTTGTCACTTTCATTACTTTTCGTCTGTCCAAACATGTCTCACTTGTAAATGAGTCTTCGAGACTCTGTGTGATTTATCTGTATAAATAAAGGTTGAATGAATAAATGTTTCAGTTCTATAAGTTAATCTAAAAAAGTTAAAGAACCAGATTTGGACTGGATTTAACTTTTTTAGATTTTTCTACCTGGATTATTGAGCATGCATCAGAATATTCTATAAACTAAGTTTTATTCCAACTTCCTTCCTGAACTCTTTGACTTCCTGTTTGCGTCTCTTCTTCTTCTCTTGCAGCTGCACCGAGCCTCGTCCTCCATCAGCATCATCCGAGTCTAATCTGTGACTCGGAGCTCAGGACGAGTTTCAGGTGGATTATCGGGACAAGTCGGGGGGGGGGGGAGGTGTTACGGACCAGCTGCTGTTCCCGAGACACAATCTGTAATCTGTTGTAAAATATGCGAAAACTCCAGATTCATGAGGTGGTGCTGCCCTCTACTGGAGGAACCTGGAACTGATTTCTTCTCTGATGTCAAAAACATTTTCCAGCATGCCTCAAATTCATTCACTTTCACCCGACTGATGTCTACTGACTCTTCTTTTCATCTCTGCCCTATAATCCCTCATTTGACCCTGTTTTTAGGATGATTGTGTTGTTTCAGATCGATAAGGAAACGTTCGGTCCATCACCGTGGTTTGAAATCGTAGATGAATCCAAAGTGTTTGTGGTGAAGTTTACGTGTATTTTAGGTAAAAAGTCTTTAAACATGTGAGGTGGATTTTCACTGTAAATTTTTCATAAATTGTTTAATTAAATGAAGTTTTATCATCTTGTTGTTTGTCAGAACTTTCTAAGCTTTTTTGTGTTTTAACAACTGTTGAATTTCATTAGTTTGGAACGAGGGAAAAAGGGTGCTAGAAATGAAGCCTAAGAGAAACTTATCAGGAAAAAGCTAAATATTTCTACAAAAAGGGAACTTTTACTGAGCAAAAGCAGAAGCTAAATAGTTTATTATGTGAATGTTCATGAAACATTCACACTATTGTGATCCTGTTTATATTTATTATTCCAGGTTTCTTTAAAATATTTTCCGTACATTTTTTTTTTGTACATCTTTCTCGTTGTGCAATTTTTGTGCTATTTCAACAAATCATAAACCAAAATGTTCAGCTGTTTCAGGACAATTCTGCTATAACTTTTGGTATTGGTGCAACTTTAGCTTTTTGAATTTTTAGCCCTTTCTGCCATTTTCTTTCTCATAGAAAATGAATTGAGCTCATTTTACATCCTTCAAATCTTTAGATCTGTTTACAACCTTTTACTGCTCCTTTCACATTTTGTTCTGCTTCAGCTTCTTTCAGCTTCCTTGTGCAAATTGAAAGTTTTTTCCAGCTACTTTCAGCTAATTTCAGCTGCTATTTCAGCTGTTCTTTGCTCCTTTCAGATTATTTCCAACCACATCATTTTGTGCTTCTTGGAAATTCTCTCTGCTAATTTTAGTTTATCAAAGTTCATGCTCAATAATCCAGATTAAAAAAAATCCAACAAAGTTCAGTCATGTCACCTGGATGTTTTTTGTTTTTTTTGTTGTTGAGACGTTTCACCCTTCATCCGAAGGGCTTCATCAATCTGAGGAGTCACAAAGAAACTGTTACCCCACTAAGCAGCGCACTCACAAAGGACCAACCAGTTTGCTGGTGATGAGATGATTTTTGGGGGCTGTCCTCTCCCTCATTGACTCCTCCCAGGCAGCCACGGACAAAGTGGTCCAAGACCTGGTTGAAGAAGCCTTTCGGATGAAGGGCAAAACGTTTCTCAAAAAAAAACAAAAAACATCCAATTGACCTGAATGAACTTTGTTGGTTTTTTATCTGGATTATTGAGCATGAACTTGATGTTTTGAACCACTTTGGCTGTGGCTGCCTGGGAGGAGCCGACCGGGGAGAGGACAGCCCCCCAGAAAACATCTCATCACCAGCAAACTGGTTGGTCCACTGTAGGAGTGTACTGCTAAGTGGGGAAACAGTTTGTTTGTGACTCCTCAGACTGACGAAGCCCTTCGGATGGAGGGTGAAACGCCTCTCAACAAAAAAGAAACTGTCCAGATGACCTGACTGAACATTGTTCAGCTTGTTATGCTCCTTTTAGTCTTACTGCAAGTTTTGTATTTTTTCTACTATTTCAGAGTCAGAGATTCTTTGTCATTCGCACCTCGTGGTACATATGGTGGAGCGAAATTATGTACACGGGGTCCCAGTTACATCCAACAATAAAATGTATAAGAAAAACAGTAATAACATGTAAGATATGAACTAAGAAAAACATCAACTAAATATACACTAAACACTCATTGAACATCAGCAAAAACATGAACATGAGTCTGTGAGCAGATGTGCACGCATGAAAACATCAACATTGAAACAGATCAGCAGCAACATGAAACAGATCAGCAGCAACATGAAACAGATCAGCAGCAACATGATATGGTTTTTCACAGTGATTATTCTAGTTAGAGATTCATGAGTCTAACAGCCTCAGGGTAGAAGCTGTTCCTCAGTCTAGTGGTTCTACACTTAATGCTCCTTAACCTCCTTCCTGAGGGGAGTGGGGCAAAAAGTGTGTGTGCTGGGTGAGTGGGGTCCTTCATGATGCAGGTGGCCCTCTTCCTGCATCTGGAGGTGTAGATGTCTGTGATGGTGGGGAGGCTGATTCTGACAGACTTCTGTGCAGCCTTCGCCACTCTCTGCAAAGCTTTTCTTTCTGCAGCTGTGCAGCCTCCATGCCACATGTTGATGCTCGAGCACAGGATGCTCTCCACTGCACACCTGTAGAAGGAGGTGAGGACTGAGCTTCCCAGACCAGCTCGTCTCAGCCGTCTGAGGAAGTAGAGTCTCTGATGAGCTTTCTTGATCAGGCTGGTGGTGTTGTTGCGCCAGCTGAGGTTGTCATTCATGTGTACACCCAAGTACTTGTAGCTGGAGACCACTTCCACCGTAGATCCTCTTATGTTCAGGGGGGTGTAGATGTTTTTGTTCCTTCTGAAGTCCACAATCATCTCCTTTTGTTTTCTTCACATTGATGTGAAGGTTATTCTCTCTGCACCAGCTCTCCAGGTGTTCCACCTCTTGCCTGTAGCTGGACTCATCATTGTTTGTGATGCATCCCACCACCGCTGTATCATCTGCAAACTTTACAATGTGACAGCCTGGATGGGTAGCTGCACAATCATACGTGAGCAGAGTAAACAGGAGGGGGCTCAACACACATCCCTGAGGAGAGCCAGTGCTGAGGGTTATGGTGGAGGAGGAGAAGTTGTGGATCCTCACTAACTGTGGTCTGTTTGTTAAAAAGTCTAGTACCCAGTTGCAAATGGAGGGGCTTAGTCCTAGTGTGGATAGTTTGTCCATCAGGGTTTGGGGGATCATGGTGTTGAAGGCGGATGTGAAGTCCACAAAGAGCATACGGACGTAAGAGTTTTTCTGCTCCAGGTGGTTGAGCGCAGTGTGGACCACAGAGGAGATGGCATCCTCTGTTGATCGGTTCTCACGGTATGCGTACTGATGAGGGTCCTCGTTGTTGTTGATGGTTGTTTTGATGTGAGTCATGACCAGTTTTTCGAAGCATTTAGCGACTATCGGGGTGAGGGCCACTGGCCGATAGTCATTCAGACCAGTCACTGTAGAGCTTTTTGGGACTGGGATGATGGTGGCAGTCTTCAGGCAGGTGGGAACTGTATCCAGGGTAAGTGAGGTGTTAAAGATGTCTGCCTGCACCTCACAGAGCTGATCAGCACATTCCTTCAACACTTTTCCGGGGATGTTGTCTGGGCCAGTTGCTTTGTGTGGATTACTCCTCCTGAAGGTACTCCTTACTTCTGCTGAGGTCACGCTGAGATGCTCTTCATCCGGTGGTGAGGTGAGTCTGGTGCTGGGTGGTCTGTTCGGGTCTTCAAAGCATTCTTAGAACTTGAGGGCATCAGGCAGAGATGGGTCTTTGGGGCATTGTACGCTCCTTCCTTTATAATCTGTTATGCACTTAATGCCCCTCCACATGCTCCGAGGGTCTTGTGAGATGAATTGACCCTCAATCCTCTTTGCATATGTGGCCTTGGCCCTCTTAATACCAGCAACCAGCTCTTTTCTTTTCAGCTACTATTTAGCGGTTTTTATTCTAATTTTAGCTTTTTAAGCTAATTCCACATGTTTTTAAAACTAATGTAAACTTTTGTCTGCCTAATTCAGCAAAATTGTGCTCTCTCCACTTCCTTGTGGTAATTTAAGCTTCTTTCTGCTGTTTTTAGCTTCTTTCAGCTGTTTTTTTTTCCCCCCCCCCCCCCCCCCCCCCAGATAATTTCCACTCCTTTGCGCTCATTTCTGCTTCTTTCATCCTAATTTGACAAACATGTTCTTTCTGCTTTCTTCAGCTAATTTAAGCTTGTTCTAGCTTTTCAGCTACCTTTTTTTTTTTTTTTAGCATTTTTGGCTAATTTCAGCTGTTTCAAGAAAAAAAAAGTTTTTCACGGTAATTTCTGCTACTTTCAGTTTAATTGACTTATTACTAGTAATTCCAGCTTGTTATGCTCCTTTCAGCTGTTTTATGCTTGTTTCAATTATTTCATCTACTATTTAGCTGTTTTATGCTACTTTTAGCCTTTTCAGGTAATTCCACATTTTTCCCTAATTTCAGCCCGTTCCACTTCCTTATGGTAATTTAAGCTTCTTTCTGCCTTTTCAGCTACTTTTAAGCTAATTTTTTTGTTGCTAATTTCAGCTTATTTTTTTAGATATCTTATTTTTGTGCTCATTTCTGCTTATTTAAACTTAACTCAGAAAAGATGTGCTTTTTCTGCTTTCTTTGGCTAACTTGGGCTTGGTCCTTCATGTCAGATATATTTTTAGCTAATTTTAGCTGTTGTTCAGTAAGTTCTTCAGCAATAAGCTTTCACGCTGAATTTTCACAGGAAATGCAATTTCTCTAGTTTTTTTTTTTGTATATTTGTCGGATACAACACAAACCCTCAGCTGAGCAGGTAACTATCACTCACCATCATGACAGGTAAGTGGTTGTGTAAATGCCTTTGGATATGTTTGTTAGCAAAATATCTCAGGATTTCAATGAAAATTTCAAAAAGTACCAGTAATCATTGGATGTACCTAATGAACCGGCCTCAATATGGCCGCCGCAGCTAACTCAGCTAACTCAATTTGACAGAAATGGAGGTAAATCTTGGAGTGGTAGTAGCCGAGGGTCATTCTGAGCGAACACTCTGAGTGCTAACAGATCTGCAAACCCTCAGAGCAGCTCAACAAGAAGATCTTGAACTCTTTATTAACTCAAACTTAAAACCAGTGTTGGAGGTTTAAAAAAATTTAGTGCGAACAAAACG